ACTTAAGTAGTTTTTTTTGGGTATCTGTACTTTGCTATTTATATTTTTGACAACGTTTACTTTTACTTCACTACATTCCTAAAGAAAATAATGTACTTTTTTACTCCATACATTTCCCCTGACACCCAAAAGTACTTGTTACGTTTTGAATGCTTAGCAGGACAGGAAAATGGTCCAATTCACGCACTTATCAAGAGAACACGTGGTCAGCCCTACTGCCTCTGGTCTGGTGGACTCACTAAACACAAATGCATCTTTTGTAAATGATGTTGTAGTGTGCCCCTGGCTATTCGTACATTTTTAAAACAAGAAAATGGTGCTGTCTGCTTGGCTTAATATAACACATTTGAAATGATTTAATCTTTTATTTTTTATTTTTTATACTTAAGTATATTTTAGCAATGATATTTACTTTTGATACTTGAGTATATTTAAAACCAAATACTTTTAGACTTTTACTCAAGTAGTATTTTACTGGGTGACTTTCACTTTTACTTGAGCCATTTTCTATTAAGATATTTTTACTTTTACTCAAGTATGACCATTGGGTACTTTTTCCACCACTTCTACTTTGAAGAACTAGTCAAATGATTTTGTCAGACAGCTCTGCAGCATACTTAGGCAGGCTAGTCTAGCTAAGTAGGATGACTAAAGACAGTGCAGTATGGGGAGCACAGACATAATGTTGTCTGGCTGTCTGGCTGCTACAGCCTGAGCAGAGATGAGATGATAACTTTAAGGAATGAAAAATAATAAAGTCATCAAATAAAACTAAGTAACATACACAACTGAAATATATTATATTATTTCATAGTCATTTCCTATTTTTCTATTTGGACAGAAACAATGGAATATTTTCAATGTTTTGGCAATAGAATGTTCACTATTTTTGGCTTTGGATTTTCCATTAAAAAGCACTGATCATTTTATTGTCATTACTTCAGAATGGATTTCATGTAAAAAAAGAAAAAAAAAGAAGAAAGAATCGAAACTGAAATCGAAAACCGTGATGATTTTTTAATAATCTAACCGAAACCGAACCGACTTCAAAAAGCAGTAATCGCTCAGCACTAATACTACAGTATATCCATCTCAGCACTAATACTACAGTATATCCATCTCAGCACTAATACTACAGTATATCCATCTCAGCACTAATACTACAGTATATCCATCTCAGCACTAATACTACAGTATATCCATCTCAGCACTAATACTACAGTATATCCATCTCAGCACTAATACTACAGTATATCCATCTCAGCACTAATACTACAGTATATCCATCTCAGCACTAAATACTACAGTATATCCATCTCAGCACTAATACTACAGTATATCCATCTCAGCACTAATACTACAGTATATCCATCTCAGCACTAATACTACAGTATATCCATCTCAGCACTAATACTACAGTATATCCACCTCAGCACTAATACTACAGTATATCCATCTCAGCACTAATACTACATTATATCCATCTCAGCACTAATACTACAGTATATCCACCTCAGCACTAATACTACAGTAAATCCATCTCAACACTAATACTACAGTATATCCATCTCAGCACTAATACTACAGTATATCCATCTCAGCACTAATACTACAGTATATCCATCTCAGCACTAATACTACAGTATATCCATCTCAGCACTAATACTACATTATATCCATCTCAGCACTAATACTACAGTATATCCATCTCAGCACTAATACTACAGTATATCCATCTCAGCACTAATACTACAGTATATCCATCTTAGCAACCACAAGCATGTGTACAACACCTATTACACCTATCATGTGTATAGTTGAGCATGTGTTCTATACCCATCCCACCTACTCTGCACAGGCAAGTATCAATCTACTGTACAGTTACAGTAGATCAGGGGTTTTCTAACCTTTCTTGCCCAGGGACCCCCACACAGGCAAACCGGCGACCCAGGGACCCCCATCATATGTTACTTCCCCAGAGTCAGATGAAAAGGAACAGCTAGCATGCTAACTGTTTCTGTAGACTTCCAGTCATTGCGCTAACGCTAGTAAGCATTGGCTCGTGAAACTACCTCCAACTTCCTTCATACTCGACGCAGAGACATACAAATTGTATCCTCAATGGTATTCTGTTGCAGCTAGCGATATTCATAAAATAATTATTTTTCACATAAAACAATCCCTCAAAATATTTTAGCCATATTTTTGTCCAAAGTAAATGGCAGACTCTCTGCAGTACCCCAGTTTGAAAGCTCCTGTAGTAGAGCACAGTTGGACACTTCTACCAGTGTCCACCGGACGGAATAAAATATACTATTTGAGTGTAAAGATGAGTGCATACCCTGAGTAGTGCATATAGCACCATATCCTAGTAACTAGTGTATCATAATACTAATCCCTGAGGAGTGCATATAGCACCCATATCTAGTTCACTAGTTATCATAATACTAACCCTGAGTAGTGCATATAGCACCAATCCTAGTCACTAGTGTATGCATAATACACCCCTTAGAGTGAATACAGCACCATATCCTAGTAACTAGTGTATCATATACTAACCCTGAGTAGTGCCTATATCACCATATCCTAGTAACTAGTGTATCATAATACTAACCCTGAGATGCATACAGCACCATATCCTAGTAACTAGTGTATCATAATACTAACACTGAGGAGTGAATACAGTACCATATCCTAGTAACTAGTGTATCATAATACTAACCCTGAGAGTGCATATCAGCACCATATCCTAGTAACTAGTGTATCATAATACTAACACCTGAGAGTGCATATAGCACCATATCCTAGTAACTAGTGTATCATAATACTAACCCTGAGTAGTGCATATAGCACCATATCCTAGTAACTAGTGTATCATAATACTAACCCTGAGAGTGAATACAGCACCATATCCTAGTACTAGTGTTCATAAATACTAACCCTGAGGAGTGAATACAGCACCATATCCTAGTCACTAGTGTATCATAATACTAACACTGAGGAGTGAATACAGCACCATATCCTAGTAACTAGTGTATCATAATACTAACCCTGAGGAGTGAATACAGCACCATATCCTAGTAACTAGTGTATCATAATACTAACCTGAGGAGTGAATACAGCACCATATCCTAGTAACTAGTGTATCATAATACTAACCCTGAGGAGTGCATATAGCACCATATCCTAGTAACTAGTGTATCATAATACTAACCCTGAGTAGTGAATACAGCACCATATCCTAGTAACTAGTGTATCATAATACTAACCCTGAGTAGTGCATATAGCACCATATCCTAGTAACTAGTGTATCATAATACTAACCCTGAGGAGTGAATACAGCACCATATCCTAGTAACTAGTGTATCATAATACTAACCCTGAGTAGTGAATACAGCACCATATCCTAGTCACTAGTGTATCATAATACTAACCCTGAGGAGTGAATACAGCACCATATCCTAGTAACTAGTGTATCATAATACTAACCCTGAGGAGTGAATACAGCACCATATCCTAGTAACTAGTGTATCATAATACTAACCCTGAGGAGTGAATACAGCACCATATCCTAGTAACTATGTATCATAATACTAACCCTGAGGAGTGAATACAGCACACCATATCCTAGTAACTAGTGTAATGCATATACAACCCGAGATTGAATCAGCACCTTCCTAGTAACTAGTGTATCATAATACTAACCCTGAGGATGAATACACACCATATCTGTCCTAGTGTACATAATACTAACCCTGAGGAGTGAATACAGCACCATATCCTAGTAACTAGTGTATCATAATACTAACCCTGAGGAGTGAATACAGCACCATATCCTAGTAACTAGTGTATCATAATACTAACCCTGAGTAGTGCATATAGCACCATATCCTAGTAACTAGTGTATCATAATACTAACCCTGAGGAGTGAATACAGCACCATATCCTAGTAACTAGTGTATCATAATACTAACCCTGAGGAGTGAATACAGCACCATATCCTAGTCACTAGTGTATTGCAGTATACAAGCCAGCATTTGTCGCTAAATCAAGTCCTCTCTGACCCCAGGCTCAAATGAGCAGGTATCTCTGTTTTGCATAGTTTATACCCTCTCGGCCCATCTGAACACATAGCCACTCCTTCCTGCTCCAGCCGTGTGAAAACCACTCCCAGACAGCCTAGATTAAATGCTAAAGAGATCTGATGTTTAGTGATGTCATTACTATTATTCTAGACTATCTGGTCTACTAACAACTTTCTGCTGTTTTCACTGATGTTGCCCATGTTATTGTTTAAATAGGGGGGTATCTGAGA